TTTCACAAGGACACCTATAAATGTACAGCCAGAATATTTTCGTATGCCTTTATCCAAATGGTAACCTCTTGAGTAACATTTTTTGATGTGCCAACATCAGCTAGGCAAACTTTAGCATAGGAAAATGTATTAAAAACATATAAAAATGTCTTGTAATACAGAATATAGAAAGTTGATATACGCTAATCCATAATTGCACTCAGCAAGAAAATATCTGTCTGAGTCTTCCATATCAGATGTGAATCAGTCCACCAATGCTGGAATTCCCTTTTAGAATTATTAACAGGTCGTCATTCTCATTAAACATAGTATGTCCATATCTTTTCTGGGTCTATCAGTTATTTAGAAATTATGTAATCAATCTCACAAACAGCTAACTGGGCATGCCAATACATCCATCATAATTCAACATAATTTCACATAGCAATTATGATGTTGTTTAGCTGAGAAAATGTATCTTATTAATACTTAATAACTAACATTGTGTTGTATGGTATGATCATAAACATCTTCCCTCTGATTGATAAATAAATTAGTTAATAGTTTAGCCTTTAAACTTTGAAGATGTTTTTGCTCTTATATTCTTACCAAAATATGACCTCTTTATATGAAAGTTAAGAGAACTACTATTGATCAAACTTTTTGTATAAAATCAATTTGTCATCATTAGCATAGTTTGAAGCTTACCTACAATATCAGTAATCTTGAGAATGGCTTATTGCATTTTCCACCCATTTTGTTCTTGAAATTGCTTTTCTGCAAATTTTCAAAGGTCAAGTTAAACAAGTCTGAAACAACAGGTCACAAAGACAAGAACATATAACGTAGGTAGATCCTCCTAAAGTCATGCTTCTGCACATGGCGCTTTGCTGCACTGTTCAAACCCAGAGCAACTGAGGTCTGATGACATGTAGATTATTTCCATCACAACCTTGACACAGTTTCACCTCTCTGTGCACCCTCCCTTCCTTCCCTCCTTCTACACGTCCTCACCTTCCAACGTCTCAAAGGCCCCACCCTTGCTTCATAATCCCACCTCCACACCCCCATGAGCAAATTTCCCTCTGCAGCCAGAAGTGCTGAGTGCTGCTGTTTGTTGAGTACATAGAAATTTGCTGAGGCCATAAGCTGTCCCCAAACATCTGCTCCCTGGAGTGGAGGCAAGAGGAGGCAAGGACTGGACAGCTGTGCATGTTGCTGAGAGGAAAGGGGGCTCTGATACGCTGTGTTATGTATGGCTTCATGCATGTGTGAGCACATGTACACACACATATTTGTGTGTGTGTAAACAATTATTCAAATAGGTACTTTGTATCCTTTTGAGTGCTTTATTAGTAGCACCTAGGAAACAAAACACATATTTGTGTAATTGTACACACAGGGCTTCCATATGGGTATTTGCACACACTCACACAGACAGGTGCACTTCATTCAACTTTCTTGATGCACAAATTGTTTGGTAGTCAAATATGTGAAAGAGACTAATCAGAAAGACTAATAGTGTGCGAAAGTTTTTGCAAATGTAAAATAAAACTATAAAATCAGACAAGGAAAAAAAACTAAGTATAAAAAGCAGAAGAGCACTCAAATGATTCATGGCTGTAACAACAACAGAGCTATCTGTAAGTGTTTCACATTAAGTTAGAAATGGCTTCCAATGATCAATTGATTTCACTCCCCTGAGCTCTGCTGAGGATATCACATGCATATTATGCATTAAGTTAATTTTAGGTCAACTTCGCATTAATTACAATGAGCTTGGAAACTTCTGTGCGTTCATTTAAAATGTAATGGGAGATATCCTTTAAAGCCACATATGTTCGCTCATTGCTCATGCCAGTCTGCACTTCTCTGGAGAATTATACCAGCTGCCCAGATCAGCTAACTTGCAATGGGCTATGGAAAGGGATAGAGGCCTGTCAATAACTCCATTCATCATGTACTAATGCATCACAGGATTTACTTTGATACTTCACTTTTGTGTTTCTTGTTTCATCAAGATGCAATTGGAAGCCGTATTTTTTTTTCCTATAATTAATGATTATCATTTAATTATTTCTGTACTTGTTGTTGATTAAAAATAATAATCTGTAGAATTATTTATAGATTTTTGGAGTGAATTTCATCACAAGGGAGAGCAGAGGAAGATTAAGTTAAGGGAAATTGTGCGTTATTTAATGCAGGCACTGTTTCTACCTGTAACGGCATCGCTTTTAAAGTTGACTTATTCCTTTTTTCTTTTTCTCTCATCTTTATGCTCTAACTTTGTGTGTAAGTGTTTGTGTGTCTTGAGCACTGCACAGTTGTCAGTCTCCTAAACCAATCGTACATCTTTAGGAAGGAATTACAGGGGAAGCAGAAATTCATCAGGTCGCACTCAAGAGCGTTCGAGCAAAATGTCAGGTCTGAGCAAACAACGCAGCCCTTCTTTCATCAGTTAAGGTGCAAATGCTGAAGCTGCCGCAGAATGAAATTAGAGTGATGGTTCAACCAGAAGGAATCAACTATTTTCCTCCTTCACTTCAGCCTTATGATGCACATATATTTGGTTCCTATTTCTAAGTGAATCTATTAAAACTGTGATAAAGTAAGACTGGATTTAAGGAGAAGTCTCACTGCACACCTGCTTCATCTTTTTTGCACATTAAAATCCTGAAGTTCTGAAGCGAAGGAGATTTAGCTGAAGATGATGATTTTAATAGTTCTTAAAAATGGTCTCTTTATATCAATATATCAATATCTGAAAAATATTCTCATCGCTATCGTTGTCCTCAAGTTCCAAGTGACCTTAATGACACTGGACATCATTTAAGATTTTGTTAAACAATTCAATTTGGCCTATTTTGCTTAGAGAAAGGGAGCCTTGATGGTTTTTGGTTTGCCTAAATGCAAATTTACAATAAATTAGGTGCAACGCTGCTTAATCTCCTGCTTCCATGCAAAGTTGAAAGTAATTATGAAAAAAGTAGATTTTTAAATATCCGTCTTGTAAGTAAATGTCCTTTTAACTTGAAATTATTTTTTAATCAACATTTCTTTAAATGCAGTTGTTTTGAAAAATAAAAAACTAATACTTATCTTTCTTTTTTGTGCAATTTTAATTAATATTTACAATTATTTTTATTATCTTCTATTTAAAATTTTCTAACAATGTATTTAAAACAATGCTTACTTTATCTAAATGACATGATCTTTGTGGAATATTGTATAAAATAAGTTCAGCTATGTTTCAGTGTTATATATATATATATATATATATATATAAAATTCCTTCCTTCCTCTCATTTTTACCTTTGGAAATAATTGTGGTAGATATGTGGTAATTACTTAACAGTGAGCATCTTTTAAAATGTGGCAAATGTTTTAGGAGCTGATCCCATTTAGAGTTCCATCTTGTTTTATTTTAGAGTTTGTTTTTAATATCCAGTGTTTCACATTTAGAAAATTAAATGGGTTGAAAGAGTCTTTTATTAACTTATAGCAATTAACCAAAAGCATTTTTTGGGCTTATTACAATATGCAATATAGGGCAAAAATTAGGTTAGTTCTAGGTGGAGAAAAATGTATCATCTGCCTCCCTGCAAAATTATAATATGAACAATTATAATACGGCCTTTTGGTATTCAGCTCGTGAAATATTGTTGTGTGGACAGAGAGAGCAACACATCAGAACAAAGGAGCTCAGAGTCGCTTTATGAATGAAAGAAAAATCTCAGACTCTGAGGTCACTTAAAGCAATGGTGCATCTTTCTTTCTGGATCTGCTGACCGGGTCACTGTTGTCCCGAGGCAAGACAAGGGTCAGAAGGTGAGAGTTGAACTCTGGTGTAACTGCATACATTAGCTTGGCCTTGCAGTCCCTGCATGTGCTGACAAAAACAACTTTTCAAAATAGAACCAGAATACATTTAATATTGATAAACTAGTAAGCTTAAAATATATTTTTATTCACTTTATTCTCCTTATTTTAACCATTCTATATTGCCCTCATGTGTTACATTTAGAATGTAGCAGCAATAACATCCAACACAAAGACCCTAATTGAAAGCTAATCAAAATATACCCTCACAATGTGGATGATGGTTCATTGTTTGATATCATAAAAGACATTAACATGAATAAAACTGATTGTGAACGCAGGAGCAGTGTTTAAGGATCGTGTTTACAGTCATTTACTTTGCATGCTATGAGATGTGAATCTAGGAGGAGTATTGAGCTGTGGGAAGTGCTGGTAGCCGCGCACTTTATTGGTGGATCTACAAACAAGCAGTGGCATTTTTTTTTTCTTTTTTATTGTCTGTTTCTCCCGCATGAGCTTTCAAGTCTAAATTATCATCTTCTGATGCATGTATGGAGGCAATAAAGAGCGGAACAGCTCCCGATCGGGGCGTTCTGCGTGTTCCATTAACATGCAGTTACAGAGGCATGCAAATGCTCCCTAGATTAGCGTCTCCAATGAATGGATCACAACGGATCGATGCGCTAATACCTAGTGCGGTCGATAAATCTCTCCTCCAATTATTGCGTTTCAATCTAGTTTGGATGCAGGATAATGAAAATATTAAAACAGGAAAAACAAGCTCGTTGCAGCACACATATACACGTGCACACGCAAAGCATCTGTAAACATGCCAACAGGTGGAACTGCTGAAAAAGAAAAAAACAAATTAAGCATATGAGGACAATTACTTGCTTAAGAAAGAACAATTTAATTGTGCA